CGAAACGTTTTCAACCAGAGTAGCATTTTGCAACATGGTACAGTTTCCGAAATAAAAATCATGTTCCCATCTATCAATTCGGTTACTGACAATCTACATACAGATGAGCCATATTGCAAAAAGCACACAATGAAGATACTGAATCATTTTCAAAGTTCTCACATCACTTAAAAGAGATTACAATGCTTGTGAACATTACATATCACAAATACTAACAATGCCCAAATCGTGAATACTAAAAAAAGTATTTGTGTATATATTATTTCAAACAAATCGAATAGTCTAGTTGGTACAGCCGGATATGTAACTGTATGATCGTTGAATTGAGTACTTCATGAACGCATGACACACACTGCGGCGGATTTGCATCTCTTTCATTAATATATCCCCTGTTTTAAGACACAAAATACTGGTCGCATCATTGACATAAATTCAGTTCTATAAACGTAAGCCATCAGCACACAAACGAATGATTATTGCTATTCATGTATTATTCAATTTAGTATTGTAAAAACATTGTTGGTTTTGGGATTCACACATAATTATGTAACGTCTTCAAACTACATGCCATACGTTAAAAACGTCGTTCCATATCATGAGTATATATTGACACAACTTACAAACTCATTTGTAAGATGGGCACGAGCGAATAAATACGTATGAATTAATTGAGTGTTATATGCTGATAATAATGCCTCACTGAATACAGACACATTACCTTAGTTATTAGAAGTGAAGTCCAAGACCGATGACCCAGATAAAGCAGCATAATTTAATACGGATAATACGCTCTCAATTTGCTATTATGTAAATTTTTTTATACGACTTTTGAAAATAGATCTATGGTTTTGTATGTTACTTCCACGTTTGCGGCGTGCTCTCACGTAACACGATGATCCTGTAGTGCAATATCCGTTTTTATCAACTAAAACATTCTCCTAGTTTAGTATGATCCCAATAGTAAGTCATATATCTACAATATTATGAAATTCTATTTTTTCATCATTCAGGGTTCGGACTAAAAAAGAACTGCACTGTTATCTTTATTGTGAATATTATTATTTTAAAAAAGCTAATTAATATCAGTTGCGGACATTTTCAAATGCTCGTCTCATGGTCAACTCAGTTCAGAATTTCTGTATGCAGATCTGCAAAAATGGATGATATATCAGTCTGCCTCACCGAAGTAGCTTTGCAGATTCAGTCTGGTGATCGAATTCAAAAAGTGATCTAGAGTCCATGACCCATAGATGCCGTAGTAGTGTAGATCACGGTGGTTAGTTGTATTATTTTGATTGCAGCATCATATTTGAAAGATACATGACAAAATAAAATAAGACATATTACATTACAAAAGACAAAAAACAGAACTGTACAAACAGTGAAGTCGAGCCAAGGAAAGATACATTTAGATTGATAAACACAAAAGTTGTTGCGATAATATAATATTACATCTAGAAGAGTATAGAAAACTGTCCCAAATTAATGCAAGAAAGTTCCGGCGAAACAGAGTCCCCCAGAATTTGTACTGGTGATAAAATGACCCCATGTGTTGCCGTATTTAGATAAGGTCATGCTGCAGAGTTATAACTGAGAGCCGTAGAACAAACACACTCTCCCCACACAATCACGCCCACGTAACATGTGCCCGCTGTAGCAACAACTATGTCTGGATTGTGAATAATCTCTAAAACTTGTCAACATCTCGCTAACTCTGCAGTATAGCATGGCATTATGAAGAGATTGAACTATTAAATCCTGTGTTATAGTTTTCGTACTCAATTACTACTCTGATTAGTTGTGATAATAACCCAACGATTACCAAAGCATAATGTATGTCCTCAATTCACCCCGTGAGGTTAAATAATTTCCCAGCAGAATACGTTTCTAATTTGTGATTCCCATTTCGGTAGTTACAGAAAGTGATTTTACTGGGCTTACTCAACCGAACAATTGCCTGTACATTTAATGTAATATCTCTACGAAGATTGCATTTCAATTAAAAAGGAGTTATGAAGAGACCTTCATCTTGTGACACAAAGCCCTGAAAATCTACTCGCCTAACGAGAACACGGCGAGATCGTTGGTCTTTTTTTCCATATAAAATATAAAGATATGAGATGTACTATATAGAGATATACTATGAAAGTGCTATAAGTGAGAGGTGTTTTTGCATTTGATGAAAAGTGGAATTCAACTTTAATGCATGTACTGTCTGCACAATTAATACATAGGAGTGTTTTTTGAGTTTGGTATTACCAGTAAAATAGTTGCATTTCCCGTATATTTGAAGTATAGTCAATAATATATGTGAGTAAGACAGCACAACACTGACAAAACACATACACGTGTATTTACCAAGAAACAGGAATTCGAGGAAAAAAATGTGGTTGTATAAAAAGTAGTCTTATGTTGTAGTTTGTATATACTTACTAACATGCGCCCAAAGCAATATTAGTTCATTTCCAACATTCTGCCAAAAACTCGAAGCATATAGCTATAAACATTAATCTAAACAAATTATGCTTTCTAAAATTATTATAATGTACGGAACCTCGTGACACGTTCTCTAGTTATTTCATCAAACAGCGACATCAACGTCAACGAGAAGAAATGATATATTGATATATTCATGAGTAGTACTTGGTAGTTAAAGCGGGAGGGTCGTCACCTGCGCCGCACGCGCGGGAATTGAGTCCCAAGCGACGATAACAACACAGCAAAAACGCAAAGGCTCATGGGTAGACGCTTGTTTGTAAACAATGACACGCTATGGATATTTGACGCATGCGCAGGTAACGACTCCCCCGCTTTAATATAATTGTTTCCCACTGTGATTCGGAATCACACGGCTTGACTGGTTGATATTTTATGGTACGCGCCGAGGTCACCAGATCATCATGAGTTTTGCATCGTTAGATAGAATCTACAACATACCTGGCGTCATGTGTCTATATGTCTACGTGACGTCACGCGACTCTTATCGCGGGAAACTAAAGATATAATACTTTCACTTCAATTGTCTATTATTGCATACTCACCAAGTTATACATTTCCATGAAGCTTATTTGAAGTTTTTAGTATATAATGCATTGCACAAATTGCATATATTCATTTGTCAATGAAAACTAGTGAATATCGACGTAAATGACAGTTCACTGAACTTTATACAACATGTAAATAAGTAAATGTGTGACAATTAGACTATTTTAGAATTGATTGGATTGTTAACAGCACAGCCAAAATTAAAAGACAATTTAAATGATTGATTACTATAATAATATTAGATTCATCGCTTAATACTATTTTTTTTATAAACCACATTGTTTGCCATGACATTATTTTCAAAAAGAATATGACATAGAATGAGTGTTCATAGCATGCTAATGACTTTATATTCCACCTCCATCGATCCATTTTAAGAAACTTCGTTAGCGCATGATTTGGAGTCGAGACGTTTCGCTTGACTATATTTCGTATATTCCACAAACTTTCAACACGTAAAAAGCTGTAAAAAGTCTGATAAAGAAATACAATGTCAGCGACTAGACATAATGACAACATAAGCTTGGTGAGGTGTCAAGATTGTTTTTGCAACATACATGCTTAGTTCAAAAAACAAAACAATAACATTCACATACACTAAAAGCTTCTGAATAATATAATATGTATTTATTAAATTAAAGCACAGCGTCGTGTTGACATGAGTCCCACACAACGTATACTACGCGTGTTTAGGCCGAATAGGCACATTATTTGAATACATGATATATGAACCCCTGTTGCACTGGTACGAATACTGGGGCGATGTAAGCCCCCAACTCGTCAAACATTTTGCGCAAATAGTTTCATTGCATATGATTATATTTCGAGTACATTTATCTGACATTTATAACTCACTTACTTAGAGATTTTCCAATTTCCTTCTTATCTTTAACATTTCTCATGCAGGAATCTTCTTTTTTGAAATGATGTCTCAAAATTACCCGAGAAATTCCCAGAAATCGGAAACATGCATGTAGTCATCGAACGATCAGAAGTGGAAAGGGATAAACTTGACACATAGCGAAATATTATTATGTATATATGTACCCAATATATGAATACACCCACCACATAGCAAAATTTATTTAATTAATGAAAACACATATATAAGTATAACGTGCACTTAAAACACTGCGATCCGAAAGACAATGTTTGAATAATATTCTGTACACATTCATCCATAATACATGTATATACACGTTAACTAAAAGGGCAAGTCTGGGCTAACAACATAATGATCTCAGATCCACACTTGAAAGTAGAAGAATGCAATGTACAGTTTTATATAACTGTTCATTCAACTTTTCGTCAGTATTATGTAGCCCACCATATGGGTTCTCCAACAAAGAATTAGAGGTAAAAATGATATCATAGACACTTTTGTAAAAAAAAATTAGTAAATGATTTATTTTGTCCGATTTATTGAATTAAACAAAATGCCGGAAACCAGGGTGGCATTGAGTGAACTATATATGCGTTATGGGTGTGTTTTGGCAATTCGCGCTTGTATAGGTAGGTAATTCATGACACTTGGCCGAATTACCCTCTCGCCGCGCACCATACTGCAGAAATATATTGACTTTTCGCATTCGAGAAAAACCTCGTATACTCCTGCATACGCACAACGCTCACAGCCAATGCAAATCGTCGCTGGGTTGTCATTATACAATACTACATCCTTTGACTTTTTTATTTGAATAATAATAAAATTATCCATGTTGAAGTAGGCGGGGAGTTCTCTATCGATTACCCAGGGTTCAGCTGGCACTCTGCGATGCTCACATCAATGTTGTTCATAGTATAAACGCGACTCGGTAATCAATAGACGAATAAAAGATCCTTTCTATCTGCCGTGGAGAAAAGAAGCATTCTCCTTAAATTGCGTTCAGTCGTGGTTGCATAGATAGACAGCCTTGAGGTGTACGTGAGTTTTATCATCGAGGAATGTGACAATTATGGTGGGGCTTATGACACGGTGTGCGGCAAAGTATTTTGTATTCTGCATGGTCATCTTCACACCAAATGTACTGTTAGCTGACAACACGACAAACCAAAATGCGAACTCGACTGGGTGAGTACATTTGTTTTTCTCATAAAATGAACGTCGTATTTGCAGATTTAATTAAGGATGAGGTTCAGAATATAGTTTTTTTTTTCAATATTTTTAAAAAGAATGTGTATATCGCGCATTGATAATAATAGAGATATGATAAAGATAAGTGTATAATGATAGCTTGGTGTTGCTTTGCAGTCTGGTGAATGGCGATTCACAGCATGAACTCATTGGGGATGTCAAGGAGGTGCTGGAAAATCTATTTGATGGCTATGACAAAAGACTCAGGCCTGATTACGGAGGTAAGTCATCCCTGGTAAAGAACCAAGAATAACGCTGAAAATAACCGAATCAGCTGCAATTAAATCAGGATGTATGTGTTACCACTAGTAATTTACAATAATCCTATAGTGGCCACAACCAACTAACTATCTAGCCATATGGCGCGTTTGATGTTGTCATATCTTAATATACCACGGATCGTGGACGACGCGAACAGAAATTTTATGTTTACAGCGCACACTTCGGAAATGTTATTTCAACATTCATTTATTAATATTCGTATTTTAAATATTTTATGACATATTGTGACAATATAAAATTATTCTAAAATATATAATTATAAAACGATAATTGATTGTTTCTGTTGTGCATTAGATAATAGATTATTCGACCATTTCGGTCGCTATGCAAAACCTGTTTTGGTGGTGGTAAATAATCAGTGATTTGGAATCACTTCCAAACGCGGCATCCATCCATGACTGTACTTCTCTGCTCAGTATTTATATACACGGCTTCGTCGTCTGCTTACGTAAGTGCAATGGCCAATTTTATCGCCATTACTCACAGTTAGCCTCGCACCTGATGCTGTTGTATGGATTGCTTCCCAGGGGACGCCATACTTTGAATCCAAAAGAGCTTTACACTGTATGTCAATGCCCAATTACAGATTACTATTTATAGGTTTTACCAATAATCCTATCCAAAGCGTGTGATTTTAGCCGTCATTACTGGTACCCGCCAGTCCGCATGATCATTATAATGTCCATCGTCACAGATAGAAATCTCAATGCTTATATACATATCATTTAGGAATCGAAGTGTCTTGACGATGTACGTACACTCTGTAGTACAAAAACAGTACATGCGATTTGAATATTTGCTATTCTTCACCGAGGACAGTTAAGTGGTCAATGCATATATTCAATGAGAAAAAATACCAACGCCAATTTTCTAGTTGTTGAAATTATTATTTTTCTGTTCTATAGTTATATAGAATTAATCTCATACATTAAAGCCACACGACGTTCTCATTCATGTATTACATTCTATGCATGCCTATACAGTCAATCTGTCTCTGTATGTCTGTACTATTCTATCCTGTCAATCATAAGTATAAATTGGGTCAATTAACATCAATGAGGTCCACCTGGTGAGAATATTCGCCGAAGAAACAAACTCGTTAACTTAACGTGCCCCCAATTTGACAAGCGGTGAAATTATCCTGAAATAAAATAGGCTCATCAAAGTAAATGCTAACAATGTGTGCTTGTTTACACTGAATGCATTCGAAATTAAATATTAAAACCGAGTTTCTGTGTGAATTAAATGTCATAACAAAACGGTGGTCAAAATATAAATCGATCTCAGCTTCGCCGTATGCTGTTGTCATAGCTGTCACAGTGGTTTATATGACGAAATGATTTTACAGAATTGAATCCGTAAGCCACATCAACCCCGAAACCGTCAGCATCGTTATCAAACACAAACACGCAATTTTTTACTCTGTAAGTTTTGTTTCATTTTCATTCACTAGGAGTTTATTGAATGACGTCAATCCTTTACCGTTTGATACCGAAATTATACCGAATACTGTCGCTTATATCAATTACGATTATAGAAACGTTTGCGTCCCCTTGGGGTTATACCAAAAATTGATGGGCCATATGACATGAATGTGCGGTACACGAGGCACGTCCATCAGATCATTTTACTACATTTGACGTAATCAAATACAACATAATTGTACAGTCCGTTGCATTAGTTGTTAATCTGGCACTTACCGACTTAGTAAATATCCTGACTATCTTCGTGAAATCTAATCACGAATCAGAGACCTTTCAGTATTTTCAATCAAAATAATTGATGTAACTTAATTATCAAGGCAGATTAATTCGAAGATCGCTCACAGATGAATCATAGATGCATTCACTTGTGTTGTAAACTAACTTGTAACATACTTCACAAATGTCCGCTTCCCGTGAGTAAATATGGTTGTGAAGCACCATTGGTTGGTGAACACAACACGGTGTCGTGACGTCAGGTACTCTGATAAATGAAGACATTCTGCTTAGATGTTTTAGTTTTAACACGTGTTTGTTTGTTTGTTTGTTTGTTTGTAATTCCAGTCACACACATTATTTTAAAGCATAATGTAGTCGAGTTCTCTAAATGCCCCTTTCTCTAAAAATTTATTTTTACATCCGAGAATATCCTTAAATGAAATGTATGGAGCTTATTGAGAAAAACAGCAGCAAAAACCTTCAAATTACTTCCTCCCCCAGAGAATTGTGAAAGTTTCCCAGTTACTGGTAATAATCTTTAACCCAAAGCTATATTTCCAAAAGCCCTTGTTATATATATTATGGAAATCACGCCCAGGTCTGTCCAGCAATACCAAGCCTCGAACTTTAAATTTAAATCAAAAACATTCTACCAAAATAAACATGCCTCGGCCACGATCACGAAATTAGCGTATGAACATATGAAACAAAATGTAGAGAAGTGTGAACATCATGTTACAATTTAAAAGATCAAAGCGCTAAAATGTATACAAACTAACTGATATAATAATTTTAACCAACATGCGCCGACTAAACTGACTAACTATATTGCTACTACGCACATAGTGTAAAAACAATGGGGACGTAGGTTTCCGCGTAGAATGGTCAATGCTTCTAGTCAGTTGCCATGGACACCACAAATCTCAACACAAATTATTAAACTAATGAATGACCATTGAAATTGTAAAACAAAGGAATTAAATGCTATTCAGACATGATATCAGGTTGGAATAATTCAAATTTCTTGGATACTTGTCGTTTTTATTGTATTTAGGGTTAAAATATCTCAAAACAAAGCCGCCGTCTACGTTTTTTGTGGAGTTATAGAATTTCTTAGGATCTATGGTAGAATTCACTTTTTATCCACGTTTTTTTCAAAATCAAACATTGCCATTCATTCCAGATACCGGAGATACGTTCATTAACGTCGTCATAGTATTGATTGTCTCCGAGTGCTGCTTTCAAGTTAATCGTTCTCACGTACATCGATATTAACGTATGTACAGCCTGTACCGAAACGTAAATAGATCACATGATCACCAGCTGATGTTCAAATACAAAATACTGAGTGTTGGTGATAATATTGTTTCCACTCGAATGATAATTAATCATGATTCATTACGGCGTCCGTTGCCATTGATATCTGTTATCATACCCAGTGTCACATGATATTGCTAAATTGTTTTACTGTATATTTTGATTTGAGTGAGCATTACGTAAATATGGAATATATTACTAGAGACGTTAAGATGCGCATAAAAGAACGGACACGTCACTGCTTTGTGCATGATCTCCGCGTGAACCAATGACGTCATCCGTTGCCTGGTCGTACGGCAGTCGTTTTGAAACGTGATCAAGGTGACTGACTTCCGAAAGTTTTTCCCACTGTCAATTTTGATTATTTTTTACTGACATTGGTAGAACGTTTTATATTAGAGTGATTTTATATATTTATGGTGTAATAAGAAATATTGGTTGCGTTTTAGCTGATATTTATACCCACTGAAAACGTACAACTGGTCAGCTCGTTATGTAAACAAAGCTTACGACGCCAGGCATTTATGTTCACTTTCTCGAAAGGCGACATGTAACTAACCAGTTACTATAGTTTAAACGGAACTAACTGAATTATTCTTAAACATTTTCAAAATGGCCATTCCTGCGAAGAGACATATATTATATGGATGGTAACGCATGACATTGATCTGCTAAACTGACAAACTTGGACCTACGTCACGTGGGATAAACTGTGCGAGTATACATAAGCTCGTGACCGTGACGTGTTTGTTTGTTTGTTTATTAATTTAACATTATACACCACAACGTATGAAATCGTGTTTATTTCAATTTACAGTTTAACCTTCTTTAATTTCAAAATGTGTCCTATATCGAATAACTGATTGTATTTTGTACCGGTAAATTTAAAATAAATAAATAGGAGTTTTTAATCGCTAGCAAACTTCTGTTTTGTGTCAAACTGATGTTTGAGTAATTCGGGACGACATATTTGTATTCCGTATAAATAACATATTCAGAATTTGGATATCAATTGGTCAAGAGGTTATTTCTAATCTACCAGCTTCTATATATTCTACTTCTGTGAGCTGAGTTGTACGGAGTTCCAGTTTTCAATAACAGTGTTGCTATTTCCGTTACAGGTACGCCGGTTGTGGTCAACGTGTCAATGTTGGTTTACAACCTCGGCCCAATAGTTGAAACAAGCATGGTAAGTATACACTATAAATATCACGAAATTGAAGGCCTTTGCAAAGCAGGATTATGAAGATATGGCTATTTAGAGCGCTAACTGTCTGTCTGTTGAGAAGTAAATACAGAAAGCCTGCTTAGAAACGCATTATAATAACAGAACAGTTTATTCGCCACCTCGGGTACGTAACAGTGGTTGACAAAAGTTTATTCACAAATTGATCTCCTATGTAAAACATACAGGTTTACTGGATTGCCATAGTCGCCTTTGTTTTTGGTCCATTATATAGTCAGAATGTGGGTTTAAACGTTGTGTATGATCGCAAGATACACCATATAACAATGATGATTACCTTGTTCATTTCATCATGTATACAGGGAAAATATATAGAGTGAAAATGATTGTTGTCATGAACTGTAACCCCGAAGTCCTGTATGTACATTGTTCAAAGATATTGGTGAAATTGTAACTAACAGTTTAAGTATCATCAATGACTATAAAATATCAGTCCAATGTTGATGTGATTAACATGTATAATCTAAGATATATATGGAAACTTAGGAATAAGTACAGGGAATAAAATTATTATTGTTATTAAAGACGATTAATATAGTATCTGTAATATTAAAGGTATAAAATGCTATTATACAAGTATTATAAACTGGTTAGTCTGAATTTAGAAATCTGATTGGCTGAAGCAACTAGAAGACCTGTGATCCCACCCGAAACTGGCTTAAATATCTAATTAAAT